GTTTTGAAAGTGATTCCAACGATATCGTTTCTCTTTATCGTTATGGTGTGGACTCTACTATTCTATAATATCGAGAACGATTTTTAGAACTATATCTTTATAGTTATCGTGCTTGGTGTGAATGGGCCTTTATCCTCTACTTTCAGGTTTATAGTGTCAGAATTTGAGGCCACCATCACTCAAATCACCGGTATGACAGTTGTTTGATTAGATTCAGTACAGTACATTGTTTTGAAGGCAGTATGTCAGATAATAACACACTCCTGTGTGTTTACAGATGAGCATAAACAGAAGGAAGATTTGGCCAAAATTGAGTTTGAGAGAGTCCTCCAGGAAAAAGACCAGCTGTCCAAAGATTTGAATGAGTTGGAGAGATCCTTCTCCTCCGTTGTCAAACGCCTTGACAGATGCAAGGAAGTCATTGAGGGATTCAAAAAGGTATGCTTTTTAGACTTCGGAATCAAGACTTCATCTCAAATCAAGATGTTATTTGTGTATAATGGTGTTCTTTTTTTTTTTTGCCCCACTTTCTCTTCTATAGAATGAGGAAACTCTGAAGCAGTATGCGCAGAACTGCATGGACCGACTGCAGAAAGAGGAAAAGCGATATCAAGCTTTGAAGGCCCATGCTGAGGAGAAACTAGATCAGTATGTGCTTATCAAGCAGTCTGAAACACGTTCTCTCTTATGAATGTGATGATCCAATCTTGCATAATTGATCAATATACCTGGAAGCGTCACTAATAGCACTGATGTTGTTTCAGAGCGAATAAGGCCATAAATGAGGTTCGTACTAAACAGGGTGCAGAAGTGGCCACACTGCAGGTGCAGCTCAAAAGAGAACAGCTGAAAGTTCAGTCCCTAGAAAACGATCTGGAACAAAAGGTAAATGCGCGTGCGCACACAGGGAAGTCACTCTTACAGTGGTGTTCTTTTTGTGTAATTCTGAATTGCTTTTAAAAAAAAAAAAGTTATGTAACCTCTATAATGTGATAATTTTCTCTTCTCAGGCTAAAGAAGTCAAAGATGTCACAGAACTGTGTGATGAGCTGCTACTTAAAGTGCAAAAGCATGGTTTTTAGTGTATTTTGTGTTCCTTGTTCGTTATTTGTATTTGTTCTCACCAATTATAATAAATAAAAAAATGAATGTTTGAAAACCGAAACCTTTTTGACGCGAGTCCCCATGACAAACTTTTTAATATTTTAAAATAGTTTTTATGTCACTTTTTGAAAGGTATTGTTTATTTCAAATCTTTGCATAGCTATGACGGGAAGCATCTAACAATGCCTTTCTTAAGATGTAAGAAAGTACATCTTAAAAAAATAAAGCATATAAAGTACATAAACCCAAATAGGAAATAAAACCGTTATTGAATAAGCATGCCCTATTTTGAGTTCTAAACTCCTGAAACATTGGTGTCTCGTATTTTAGAGCAGTCAATGCAATTTGGGAAAGAAATCAATCAAATCTGTGTACATGTGGAAAATATTCAGAGATATAACCCCCTTTGTAATGGTTAACATTTTCATAAGTGGCTGTAATTTAAATTACAAATTTTTTTTCTCAGTAACTGTAACGGATTAGTTACATTTATTTTGTAATTAAATTACGTAATTCCATTACATGAAACTAGTTACTCCCCAACCCTGGTAGTCATTTTCATATGTTAAAAATAATTACAAAAAAGACAATTGATCCAGTTCAGGATTTTTATATATGGAAATGACATTTATTCAACAGTCTCTCACACGCAACTTAAACCGATATCATGACATTATGCCCTTCTGTATTTCTAAACGTACTACTGATTAAAATTAAATATTTAATAGCAAATATACATTATTCTGTGCTGCACTGATACAATGTTAAGACACTGTAGCTGATCATAGAGACTTGTGCTGCAAAACACCAAGGGCAAATAAGCACAAAGAATCCAGCAGTGACATCACGGAGCATTTCATTACTCACACAGTAAAAAAGTCACATCAGCACATTCAAGTTCCCATGGCCTGAGCTCCGATTCCGCATGTTTCTTTAATGTAAAAACGACACTATCTGTAAATAATCCCTAGTCGGACACAACAGAAGTTAAAATGAGGCCTAAAACTTTCAGCTTTTATTCTATTGTGATAATGTCATGACATTCTACTGTGGTGACGGTGATACAGCACAATCTGCAGTACAGTGTGTGATCTTCCAACCGAACCTTAAACTAGTCATCAGTCTGTGCTTACAACAGTCATTCTCATAATACAAACACAAGCATTCTATTGTAAACAACACTTCAAGCATGTTTCAAAAATATAATTCATTCATTTATGTTTATTAAATAGCCACAAAAATGCTCTGAATGCAACAATCAAAGATCTGGATGATTAAGTTTTATACAGTCAATTAGTCTCCAAGATTTCAGTAATCCAAGATTTTCTCCAAACCTTTTTTGGTATGTAACGGCATTGCGCTGTATCTCGGTAGCTTGGGACAAGGACACATGGAGCCAGCCATTATTCAACCTTGGATTCAAAAATCCATGTAAACTCAGATTGATTTACTCTGTCAAGTATTTTAATTTTCAGACCACGGTAAAATATCACTTTCTAAAATGAGAAAATTATACAGTATAACATGTTTTCCCCTGTAAAACACATTTAAAATATCCCTTAAGATAAATGTCACACTATTTTAACAACGTCATCTAAAATGACTCCCTTTTGAGCAGACTAACTTTTTTTTGTGCTTCTACACTGACTTATGCAACAGTATATGCTGCATTATAGTCTTAACATTTCAATGCATTAGAGTGATACAGCTTCATAAGAGACTTCTAGAGTAATTTCGATCACCAGTAGTAGCGGATATCCTTAAGTATTACTCTAGTTGCAAGCTCACAAGGTAGATCACACGAGTTGGAAATGAAACTTAACAGATGATGGGCAACTATGTTTGATGACAGGTTTCCACTATATGTAAGTGAGCTCATGTTTATGAAGATGTGAGAAGATGGTGGTCTTTATTCGAAGCTTAGATCAGAGCAGAAGTGCTTTTTGATTTAGAGTCTAAGAAATTTGGTCTACAAAAGGATATTCTGGGTTCAATACCTGGAAAAGTGAAGCTTAAATAGCAGCAATTGTGGCAAAAGTTGATAATCACAAAAAACAGTTCCTCATTATTAAAAAAGAAAGATAGTAAATGGGTCTATTTTTTTTAAACGGTTTAAAGCAATGGTTCAGCCAGAAATGACAGTTCTGTCATTTATTTCAAGTCGTTTCAAACCTGCATGACTTTCTTCTGTGGAACATAAAAGGCAATATTTTGAAGAATGTTGGTAAACGAACACTTTCTGTTCCCATTGACTTCCATTGTATTTTTTTGTCCTTACAATGCAAGTTAATGGGAACTGAAATTACCAACATTCTTTAAAATATCTTCTTTTGAGTTCCACAGAAGAAATAAAGTCACACGTGTTGAGTAAATGATGACAGAATTTAAATTTTTGGGTGAACTGTACCTTTAAAAGCAGAAATGTGAAGCTGCTAATTTTATAAAATCACTTCCTGTATGTTGTTATTTTTCAACTGTAAAGGTGTTGAAATTATTAGAATTTATATGTCCATTGTGATGGTAAAAATGTAAAATTGGCTATAAATTTATATAGAAAAGATTAAAATCTTTATTTCGTGCTAAAATCATTTTAACACACATACCATTTAGTTCTTGTGGCTACACAATTCAAATAGTATTTTAGTGTTTACAGACTGGCCCCATTTATGTCAACTGTAAGTGCCTTACTGAAACAGATTTTTTTTTTTAAAGAAAAGGAGTGAAAAGTGAAAAAATTTTTTGGTGGTAATCAACATTATGCCACAAATGCTGTCAACATTACTTCTACCATTTGTGCGATCTCAATTGGCAAGTACATGCTAGTGTACAAGTGTGCAATTATGCTTTTTAATGTAGTTTGCCGATTTGATGGGGTAGCAGCCTAAGTGTGCTAATGATCATTTACAGATATTCAGCCAGTGAACGATTTTATCACGTATCATGGTTTTGTAGAGGGCTGTTAAATACGCAGAATCTCGAGCGTCTTATTCAAGTAATTTTCACAATTCTGTATCCTACCAGTAACTTGCAAGACCCCTCGGCTAAAGATGTCTCCCTCGATTGAGTGTTACGTTGATGGAAGCGAAAACATCTATTTGATCATGGGGTCATCACCTCCTGGAGAGGTTAGGACAGGGAAGTCCACAAAGGGTTCGGTTTTGTCCTCCTGGGGTGAGTTGGCGGTACCGTCTGGCATGGAGCTAAAGGTCAGATGGTCATGTTCCATGATGGCCAGACGGTCCTGGGGCTTCTCCTTCTTCAGATAAAACATCTTCCTCAGCTGCTTCAACTGTTGCAGCTCACAGAAGGTCTCCAACACCACCAGCATGGCAATCAGGCCGAGGAGGAGATACACTGTGGGACACGAAGGGAAGAAAGAAGTGGAGAAATAAAGGAATGTAATTCATGAAAATATACATCATCACATAACAAAATACAACACAAAATAGGTTAGGTTGCAATTGTGTTAACCTTACAGGAAAAGTGTGTACATAAAAAAATTTAAACTCTTTTGGCCACCCCAAGGATCATGAATACGATTATTTTTGCCTGCATCTTATCTTTCATCTCAGCAACATCATGAAATTAATACAGAAATATTCAGAGCTAAAGAAGAAAACTCAGCATGTGTGGGCCTCACGAATGCCACATCCTCCACAATTATGCTACGACAGCAAATCTTTCTCACCGTCCCACGCACACCGAACAGAAAGACGGGACCATCTGCATCAACTAAACCCACACAAGCACGAAAGCCATGTGTCATTTTCATGCAACTTTTTGAAAATGAGAGCTGTACTGCTTCATAAGTAAGACAAACACTAAATGGAACAGTAGAGCAGCAGTGAACGAACAGTTTATACTCTTGAATCACATGCACTTCCTTTTTACCTTCCATCTGTTTCTATGACAACAGGCCAGACTTACACATTAAGATGTGTAGATACATAAAAGGAAGTCAGCCGAGTATTTTTTTTACTTGTATACTGGGCTGAATTTCACTTAGGAGAAGAGGAAGTGAACAGACTAGGCATGTTTACTCAATAAAATACATCACTATGAGAAATAAAGGCTTAATGTTGAGAATTATAAGGACCTTTAAACTGGACCACAATGTTAACGATATTTTATTAACCAAAAACTGACATTAAAAGGAATGATCTATCTAAAAAAGAAAATTTTTCATCAATGATTCACCCTCATGTCATTTCAAACCTGTAAGAGTTTCTTTCTTCTGTGAAACATGTTGGTAACCAGTTTCAATTCTCATTGACTTTCACTACATTTTTTGTCCATACAATGCAAGTCAATGGAAACCGAGACTGTTTGGTTACCAACATACTTTAAAACATTTTTTTTATGTTGTAACAGAATTGATAGAATTATCATTTTTGGATGGACTTTCCCTTTAAATTAGTTTACATGACAAATAAACCACAGAACGTTTACTATACAGCATTTCCAAGACTTCTGAATGTTTTTTAAAGGAGAACTATTATGCCACTTTTTACATTATGTAATATGAGTCTCTGGTGTCCCAAGAATGTGTCTGTGAAGTTTCAGCTCAAAATACCCCACAGATCATTTATTATATCATTTTAAAAATGCCTATTTTGAGCAGAAGCAGAAACATGCTGTTTTCATTCATGTCTCTTTAAACGCAAATGCTGCTCCTTGCCCCCTTTTCAAGAATAGAGATGTGGCTTTACAGCTCTTACCTCAGATACTCTGCCAAAAAACATCTGTTTGGTTTTGATTATCATGTCTATCGCGCTGAAATTATGCATTTTAAACCATATTAGTTTGAACTTCTGATAAACGGTTTTCTGAGCGCACACATCTGAAGCACGCGCACAGAAAGCGGCTTTCACACAGCATTTGAGTACTAAACTTGGAAAGGTCTCTTTCATGTCTTATTGTGCTTAAACTGTCAAATACACACACGTTTATGTTAAAAACACACACGAGTTACAAAAACAGTCGGTTATGTCTGTGAAGGTAAAGAAATCGCATGTTTATATTAGATCTGTGTGGCAACAGCATAATATACAGTAAATAAATAAATTAGCTGCTCTCTTGTCTCCTCTGAGGCTGGGACTCTAAACAGTGTTCTGTGCTCGTCAGTGCAGCCAAAGAGAGAACAGTTAGCATGCTTTGCTCAAACTTTCGCCATGGCGTTAGAACTGCTACAACGATGTCGCTTGCAAAAACACAATTAAAGGGCGGCAATATTATAAAAATATTAGCCCTTTCTAGGTCATGGGGGGAGCACAATCTGACGCAATCTCACTTAAACCTGGAAAAAGTCAAGTTTTCATGGTGTCACCTTTAATTCACACTTATTTACAGGGGTGTGAAGTAACGAATTACAAATACTCACGTTACAGTAATTAAGTAGTTTTTATAAGTAATTGTACTTTTCTGAGTAGTTTAAAAATTGTGTACTTTTTACATTTTAAGTGATGTATCGGTACTTTTACTCCGCTATTTTCCTCCGTTTGTGGTCGTGACATGCTTATTTTAATTTTATTTTTATCCATCAACGTGATTGGATAGAGAGTAATAGGTCTCGTGACTTTTGTCAAATCAAATTGTGCATTGAAAACTTTAACCGCCAGCTGTTTATCATGGCTGCTGGAAGCGCATTCTTCAAGCATCAATTCAGTCGCATCTTCCTCTAACTTAATATGTTACGGTAAATTTCGGATTTCTGCTTACTACATGATTTGTATATATGCTTGCCTATCTACACGGCCTGAAATTTGGTGTGAGGTTGCGGG